ATGCAAGCACTGCCAGTACCTTAATATGACTTGGTATCAGTCTCTTGCCTCCCCTGTATAGCAGAGCTCAGGAAGGGGAAGCAGCACAAGAAGCCATTGAGTAGTGATGCGGTGCTCATATGCTAACAAGGGGCATGCTGATAGAAGGGGAGGGCAATTAAATTAAATCTGCAGCTTTTCCTTTCACTGTAGGGTCACAGGCCAAGGTAGGTACAGAACCTGTGCTACTGAACTGCGGCATAGAAAAGTCAGGACTTCTGCCCTGCCAGACCGGACTATGCTGGGTGGTAGAGCTGTGTGGGGCTGGATACAATCCAATAGAAATACAAATAGCTCACTTAAAGAGGAACTTTACCCATATCTTTAAAATAACAACAAGCAACGCCTTTAGAAATGTTTAGTAATGACATTCTACAAACAGATCCTTCTAGATAACTGCAGGCTTTGTATTCTCTGTATAATTATTTTCTTTTCCAGTCTTCTGACAGTGGCCATGTTAACTAAGGGCAGGTTACTAGCTCTCCCTTTACTTCCTGTAACTCTGGCACATGAGACTAGGACATCTGACCATGCACATCATCTCAGTGGAGGAAAATGCATTTCCCTGAGATTTCCCAGCAATGCTCTGCTGATGTAACCTTCCCAGGATGCAAGCACATTACATCATTTGTACCAGAAGTGGACCAGTAAGTAGATGAACTCTATTTGTAAGTAAATGAAAAACAAGTTTGTTTGTTTTATGAATGTTATATCATTTTAAATGAGCATGCAGAGCTGCGTGCTGATGTGATTTTAGTGGGGTAAAGGTCCACTTTAAATACATTTCTCTGTATATTTAGAAGCTTAGCTGTTTTTCAGCTCAATGCGTCATAGCAATTATACAATGGATTTGGCTTTGATGTTACACAATATGATTGTGCAGTCTGCAAAAGTATATTTAAACCTGGAGAAATAAAGCAGCTTACTGCAAGTCAGACAGTAAAGTTTACGGCATGAGTACTCCATTCTTAATACGGCCTAGAAAGTGACTCACCTATTCTATCTAGGCCTGCCAATTTCAGCTTTGTATTATTTATAAGTGATCAGCTGGAAGGCCATGCACATTCCTGCAGTGCTGACTCTTGCTGATTTCTTTAATTGCTAATGGTTTAAGCATCCACAGGAAAGAGACAGCGCTGCGGCAGAACCGTGACTCATCACCATAATACTCCAGATCCGCATGGTAACCCAGACACACAACAGCTGTGGAAATAACCGAACCAAGGCCCGCAGAAAGCACAAACTGTACCAGGACCGCCAGTGATAAAGGGAAACCACATCTCACAAATATTCATTGTGCTGACATTTTTTCTTTATGTGTGACATAATGGCTGCCAGAGGCGTGCCTGAATCACAATGTCCTAAATAACTAAAGATACATGAATTCTATCCTAATACAGAACACACAATTTAATTTAAAGGATTGGTATTTCAAAGAATGCTGCCAATCAATTCATGGATGAACCCACAACTCATTATGATGATTTAGCCGTTTGTGGTAACAGGTTTAGGCGGTCCCCGAGTTACAAACATCCGACTTACATATGACTCCTACTTACAAACAGGGCTATTACTGTACAGCAGGGGCAGTTGTAATGCTACCGTGCTCGTGGCGATGAGGAGTGCCCGCCTTTTCGGGTCTGGTTCGTAGTACTGTATGTACATTACAGGAAGTTGGCTCTTGTTAGACATGCAGACGAGGGGTGCCCGCCTCTTCTTCCGTCACTGTGGAGGTTTTTACTGCTGTCTGTATCCTGATTAGAAAGATTTAATCTCACTTCCCGTCCTTGAGACAACAGGAAGTGAAAGCATCTTTACCCCTAGGAAGGGAAATTTACTCCTGTAAAAGTGATCATGGGAAAAAGGTGTCTCCACCGAAGCTTTATCACTAATCCTTGTTTCCACAATAACCCAACATTTTCAAAATCCAATTGTCACAGGGACAGAAAGTGAGGTGAAATCTTCTGAACAGGGGTACAGATAGCAAAACAAACTTTACAGGGGGTTAACCCTTCCCTATGCTATCCAAAACAAAAAAAAAGCCAAAACATTTTGGCCGGAGTTGCACTTAAAAAAAATACATGTTCCAAATTACATACAAATTCAACTTAAGAACAAACCTACGGACCCTATCTTGTTTGTAACCCAGGGACTGCCTGTACACTTTAAAAATAACTTAAGCTCTAGATCAGCTCCTGTAAAGACACTGCAAGGATGTAAGCAATTTATTTTTCAGATTCCGGCCTACATCTGTTCTGCAGATATCGAGCAAGGGTCACATGTCACGCGGGTACTGATATTTGAAGAAAAATTAATGCAAAGTGGAAGACTCTGCAGAAACACATGGAATATTACAGGGTCAGCATCCCTTGTGCAATATGCAGAAAAGAAAAACATTACATTTTTCTTATAGACGCTAATGGCTGCTCAGAATTACATTATATGACCTTTACATTAAACAAATATAATGCAGTTAAGTGCCAAAAAGGTTTTTCTGATTATTTAAGCATGGTAATGAAACACACAAAAATAAAAATGGATCCTATAAGAGCCTAATATCCATTTGGGGAATAAAGGCCGATATGAATCGTATCATGTACTCTGTAAATGGCTGCAGTGCACCAAGTCAAACCCCTACCACCTTTGTCTGTAATCTGGTGATAGGTGTACCTATTCTGTTCAAAGGATACAAGGAGTTCTCTGAATGGGTAAGGGCAGAGGAAGGGCAGGTAAATGACAGGATCTACCCTTGTCCATTCGCAGAATGCCTTGCTTTCAGAATACAAGACATTTTGTGAATGGACGAGGAGAGAGGAAAGAGAGGGTTAACGTTATGATCCCTGCAAAGTACGAGAGCCAGAAATCTCAGATGCAGCAGTGGAAGAAGGGCGCTAACTGTAGTATCCAACATCAATAAAGCTTGCATTTTTACACTACACATTGGCACTTCTAGAATTGCCATCATTAGAGGTAACTCACTTTTGCAGAGCACATTTTTTTTCTTGGAGTTCAGGAGGGACCTGGTCAGAGAGGCTACCAAGAGGTCTACAGCAACTCTGCAGCAGTTGCAGGAATTTATGACAAAGAGTGGTCACTGTGTGCATGTGACAACAGTATCACAAATTCCCCATAAATGTAAAAACCAGACTGGTGTTGTAATCCTCTCCCTCTCCAGCCAAAACGAGAAAGAAAATGTTGTTGGCTATACATAAACCAAGTTGATGTTTATTGCTCGTTAATTAAACTGCCATTCTGTTTTAAACACTGTAGCAACTAATTGGAATGTCCATCCTTTGAGGAGCACAAACATTAAATGGCTGTCTGTTTATGGATTGGAAACAATCGATTGTAAATGATTCAGACATGGCAAGGCTGTCGTTAATTAATTTAGAGGGGGAAAAAACTAAATTCATGAATGCAACTTGCTTTATCCAGATGCTCTTCGAAGGCGCTGATTACATCCATTCTGTAATATATAAAGCCTGGGGACGTGTATATACATTTTCCCCCTTCTGCAAATAGAAACAACACATATTGTTGCAGATGTTTAGGTTTCTATACTAACAGTAATGGTGGGCAGAAGAATGTCCTCCTTTCTATTCTGACCTTCGGGAAATGAAGA